TGCTCGTCTTCTTGTTTCTTTCCTCTAATTTCTGCTAGAATCTGTCTTTTCTGCAGAGACACTCTGTCTGGCGGTGTTATTCGTCCGCCATCTTCTACAATGCAGTTCTTAATCTAGAATAATTCTTATTATAGGTGTTAACCATTCATTATGTTCTTACTGCAAGCTGTGTGTCTATGCTAGCCTCACACACTTGCACCCATTCTGAACACAGCACAGCATCACGAGGCAGATATTACTGCCTGAGAGGGACAAGGACCCCAAACTGCTTTCCTGGGGCTGACCAGGGAAGAATAATAGAGAATGGACAGGAAGATGCTTACCTTTGATAAATACCTTCGCTGTGCAAGGTACTTAATGGAAAACATCACACTGAATCTTGCACTAATTATTACCTTCCACTCACACATGTGAAAAATGGAGCTCAGAGAGGTTGAATAACCTGCTCAAGGCCACCCAGCTTGTAAGTGGAACTGTTCACTATCTAGTGCAGCCTGATCTTACAGTGAAATTGGAGGCAGAGTGCTGGCTCAGTCCTTATTATTTTCACTCTAAGCTTAGCTTCTATCCTCTGGGGTAGTGGTGAGTTTGAGTAGCCACCTCTATCTCTGACTTTGGTAATGAATACTTGGAAGTAATACCAACTTTGAACAGCTATGAAACAGACTCCAAACCTGTTTCATTGGGTAACCTTAGAAAAGTAGCTTCTCTTCTTAAGGCCTCAGTTTCCTTACCTGTAAAGTCTAGTTAATAACGCCCATCCTTATGGGGTTTTCATGAGGTTAGAAATAATATTTGCAAAACACCTGGCACAGAATAGGCACTCATAATTTAGAGAGGTTTTCTTGTTTTGTTTTATTATGTTTGGGTTTTTTTATTCCTTCTAAAATATAGGAGTGATAACACACAGGGATAATACACTCAGCAAAGTGAGTAACACAGGCTAGACAGATAAGCATGCATTTTATTTTGGAACCCCAAGGAAAAGCATTTCAGGTTTCTTTGTCAAATTAAAATCAGTTCCACCTTAAAATTCCCCTCAGCAAACATTTGGAGAGATGGTATTTAATTGATCATAACATCCTCAGACTCTCAGCCAGCCTCTTTCCTCCTCTTGCTCATCACCGCTGATTACTCAAGGTATTTTTAAGTAAACAAAAAATGGCTCTTGCATAATTTGACATACCCACCTTCATGCTCCCCCCTTTTCCTCTGCTTTTAGCCTCCTGGAGCTGCCCAGCCTCCTCCGAGGCTAATCTGTTGAAGGTTTATGCATCTGCTGAGCTCTGAAGATCCCAAGCGGGCTAGACTGGGGCCACAGACGCTGACTGCAGTGGCTGTTACCTGGGGCTGTGTAGGCTGCTAAGAAGGGGACAAAGTTCTCCAGCGTCTGTTTCCCTCCTTGGTCCCCTCCAGGGCACTCCCCTTGCTCCCAGTGCCCCGTGCCACCGGTTGCACCCATCAGGAGAGACTCTCTTCCCAAAGTTGACAGCCCTCTGTCCCTTCCCTGACTTTCTGTTAAGTAAACTCCAGATGAGAAAGGGTTAATCCTGATATAACTGATTGTCTATGGATTACATCTAGGTAATGTGGCCCTTCCGTGCGTGTGAGCTTCCTGGGCACACACAGGATTGGAATTCTGTGTTTCCATCCTGGTCTCTCTGCAACCCCACCCCAACCCCTGTGATAGACCACAGACCTCAGTGTCATCACTGAGGGCCGGAAGTGTGTCTGTCGTCTTCTCCGTCTCCCATGCTTGGCACAGTTCTGGGAATTAGTAGGTGCTCTGTTTGGGGGCTTCATGTCACGAAGGCATGGGAGCAGTGAGAAATAAAATCACGGAGTTGGGTTGTTGGAAAGTCTGGGCTTTGTCTTAAAGGCACTGAGAAGTTTTAAGGGGGAGGATTGAAATAATCAGGTTTGTGTTTTAGGAAGGATGATCACTTTGCCCAGGGGAGAGGGGACAAATGGGGACAGGAAAACTATTAGAAGGCTGTTATAATAATTGCAGAGACCTGTGGCCTGGACCAGGGTGGTGGGAGATTTCTGTAACCTCCTCCAGGCTTTTGTAGCCTCCTGTGCTTAGCCCAGGAAGATACTGTTGGGAGATGGATGCCATTGGAATCCAGCCTGCCTCCCCTAAACTTATCCCTTAAATTGTCTGCAGACAGTTCTTGTAAGCTCTGAGGCCTTCCTGTGTCTCTTGGCCTGGAGGTGTTGTCTGGCTATGGCAGTGAGCTTGGTACCCCTCAGAGCAGGTAGGGCCGGAAGTGGGTGACATCTCAGGAGTATCCCTCAACCAGTGAGAAAGAGGGGACTATGTGGACAAATACCCCAGCTTCCTTGACCCTGCCCTCCACAGGACAGTTTTGAAGTGTGTTCTACACTGTCTCCTAGAGGCCTCTAGCAGGACTGAACTCCAGCAGCCCATGGTAGTAACCAGCTCCTTAAGGTATCCTGCACTGCTCTCTTCCCTTCCCGGCCCCATTTCCTTACTCCCTCACTATGCTCTTTGGGGTCACTCCCAAATAAACTTTATTTCACCCAAATCCTTGTCTCAGTGTGATTTGCCTTGAGAGAAACCCAAACTGAGGCAATAGCATTTTGCTCTAATTTCCTATTACATGAATGGATAAATATGCATACACGGTCATTCATGGATGCTATATCTTGCCTGAATTTTTAACATCCATGATCCCTTTAAGAAGGGCAGATTGCCTTCTGGGGCACATCATTTAGTCACTGACACTACTGCCATGCATAGACCCCAAATGTCATAATGAGATACGGAAATGCCCCTGGTTGTAAATTTCCAATGTCAAGGTGCGAGAGGCTCTGAGAGAATGGAATACCCACTCCAGCAGGCCCCGTGTATCAGCTCTGCTCAGAGGTGTTAAGGCAGGACCCAGCGGTGGGCGAGTGTAAGGTCCCTTTGAAGGTGCCATCCTTTAAGTTTCCTTTGCCTGGGAGCGTGCAGGTGAGTTGTCTAAAGGGTGTAAACTTTATGGCTGGTGGAGAATTGATATTATTTCTTTTTTTTTTCCTTAGAAAATATCCTGGTCTTAAAAAAATGCAACCTTCAATTACCCCAACTTTAGTGGCAAAGGAATGCTCTATATTTAAAGTTTGCTGTGGTGTTCACTTCGGCAGCACATGCACTAAAATTGGATACAGAGAAGGTTAGCATGGCCCCTGCACAACGATGACATGCAAATCCATGAAGGATTCCATTAAAAAATTAATTAAAAAAGTAAAATAAATAAAGTTTGCTGTGAAAATCTAGAGGGCTGGGGTAGGAACATGCCAGCCATGAGTAGCCCCATAGTTGTTGACCAGGGTTGACTTTGACAACATCTGGAGACATTTCTGGTGGTCACCACTGGGGGGTAGAGTGTTACCAGCATCCAGTGAGTGTAGGGCAGGGAAGCTGCTCTGGATCCTGCATGGCACAGGACGGCCCCCACTGCAAAGGATGATCTAGCCTTAAGTGGCGATAGTGGCAAGCGTGAGAAAAAACCCTGCTTTAGAGGAGTCACTGCATCCTAGCTTCTATTTTTCCCTCTAGGCTTGGGGAGGGAAGGACCCCAATCATGGGGCATATCTGGGGATTTCAGCATGGGGCAGTAGAGTATGGTGTAAATCCCTCGTGTCTGCCTCTGCTTGGGGGTATGGTGGTGGTGGTGGTGGTGGGGAACACAGGGCCATGGGCATTGCTCTGGGCCTTATTTCAAGTTGACCTCAACAGTGGGAGGGTTTAAAAGCAACCAAAGCCTATTAAAAAAGGAAATGTGATATCATTACCATAAATAAAAAACCAGAGTCACTTGCCTTAATTGGAAGGTAATCACAAAATAAATCCAATGAAAAAGTAATAAAATGTTATTGAATACTGGGCAGCTGAGCAGGCTGAAAATCAGGGAGCCTTAGGAGAGCCCCATTACCTCTCTGGGCTTCAATCTGCTCAGCTATCAAGTAAGATTTGGCTAAAATAGTGTTTCTCAAAGAGTGGTAATTGTAGCACTTTTTGTGTAAAGGAGATAATTTGTAGTTGTAAGAAGAGACAGCATTAAATAACAATGAAATACTTGGTGATAAATTGATCCACCACCCCCCTTTTTTTTTCATTTTTCTTTTAATCCATCTAAGCATAATAAAGAGAAAGTCTCAGTTTGGGTGTCAAAGTATCTTTAACACCTTTTGAATATTTGCTAATTTCCCTTTTCACAAAATGCAGGGCAGTCCACAGGGTCAGGGCCTTTGTCAGGTCACAATTCTCAGAATTTAGTAACATTCTATAATTTCATTGAATTTATTTTATGATTGCCTTCTATTCATGTAAATGGTACTGGTTTTCCGTTCATAGCAGTATTATAGAAATTTCCTCTTAAGTTCTGTAAGTGAATCAATTTAATAATGTTAAATAAAAATGAATATGTGGTATGTAAAAATTACATACCACATACAAATATTATAACATTGGCAGGTATTATAATACAAAGAAGTCAGGCTGTCCTTCTATGGATAACCTTAAAATCGCTCTGTTTCTTATTTGCAAAGTTAATAATTAGCAAACAAATTTGCAAACACCTGTGCTTAAATGTTAACTTAAAATTACAAAGGACTCCCTTAAAGTGAGCCAGATGATGTGTCGAAGTTCTTCTAGTTATGTCAACCACTCATCCCTCATTCGACTCATTTTATAATTTCTTTTTGTGAGAAGCACTCTTCCTAGACCTAACACAGTACTTGAACAAGATAGGCACTTAATAGGTGCTTGTTGAAGAAATACATGCAGCCAAGTAATGAAAAAGAAAAGCTTTCAGTTGCTATTGACAGAAAATCCAACTCAAACTAGCTTAACAATGACAACAAAGAAGTATTTAGAGATTAGGTGGGTCGTGACATGTTTTGGTCCAGAGGTTCATGATGTGGTCTGGACTATGACTTTATTTCTCTACAGTTTTCTCATATCTGCTATCCTTTGTGTCCTTGTCTTTCAGGGGGAGATTGGCCTCATGCTAGCAAAATTAGCTGCTGCAGGACCAGATTTCATTTTCACCCACTACAAATCCCAGGAAAGAGAGAGCATCTTTTCCCCAATGTTCCAAGGAAATGCTTTGAGATTCACTCCATTTGGACCACTTTGGGTCACCTGCCAACCCTGGAACCAATCACTGAGGCCAGAGGGATGGAATACACTGATTGGCTTCTCCCAGGTCACATGTCCTATGCCCACAGCCAGGTATGGTGCCATCTTTTCCAGAACAACATGAGTCCTCAGATGGGATTTGATGCTGTTAGGCGGGAGTGAGGTGAGGGGGAGAATAGCTGCTGGAAAGCTCGGACACATGATGGATGCCTACTCCACCCATGAGTGACAGGCAGCACTGGTAGAGACCATGCTGATTCATGAACTGTTATTTGTCACAACAAGATAAGAACAGAAATTGAGGGTATTTAGAAATGTTTAGGGAAGTTTAACATATGTGTAACATCCAAGTGTGTGATGAGTGGACTCATCTTGTTGAATAGGGTATATAGATCACAAGCATTGGTTTATGACAGATTTGAAAAAAGAATTGGTCTTTCTTGATAAGTAATTTGAGAAGTACAGCCTTAAACTCTGTGCCTTGCAGGTTGTCTGCTGTTAGAAGATTGGTTTCATGTTCAGCTGGAATAGGGATAAGGTGTGTCGGATTGGAAGGAGTGCTGAGAATAGTAAAAGAATAGCTGCATTGGTTTACAAGTTGAAATCATCATAGCCCACCTATCCAGGCTTTCTGTACAGTGTAATGATTAAAAGTGAAGTCTTTGGAATAAGACTCAGGTTCAAATCTCACTTCTAACATTTTCTAGCTATACCATCTTGGGTAAAGTACTAGGAATATTTGAACCTCAGTTTCCTCCTCTGTAAAGTGGGCTAGCACTCAGGTTGCTATAAAGCGCCCGATTAATGGTAGCTCTTTCAACAGAGCTCTTCCACCTCCCTGAGCTGTAAGTAGAGGTAAGAGAGAAGGTATCACTCCTGTTTTATGATTAAGAAATGGAGGTACTGAGGGGCTGTTTCTTCCTAAGAATTTATGCTCCATTCAGTTTTATCTTAGAGTTTTGTGATTGGGCTATAGATAGAAAGTCTGAACTAAAATTTTTTAGATTTATGCCCTAGAACTGGGTACATTGGGAAATTTGGGTGTAAATTGGCCTGATGTCAAGATGCTATGAGTGTCCTGATTCATCTGGAGCTGTTTCCAAACACTAATAGGTAGTTTCTACAGATTACAGGATACCAAGAACCTACAACAAGAAGAAAATATCAAGTAATTGGGAATGATTTGGTGTAAAGTTTCCATTCGCAGGCTTCTTGTCTCTTTTGATAATGTCTTTACTACTTGTTATGGGATGTGGGTTTTTCTAGTGGCAAAAGAGGTAAAGGGGATTGTGAAGGTGGCATTGTAGCTTCACAAAACTTGGTTTACGTTTCCTCCTGTGAGTATAGCTTTAAATGTCTCATTGCCTGTTGTCATGATACCAGAGGTTTTTCTGAGAACAATGGAGTTTCCTAAGGTTCTGCTAGCAAGATTGTCCTTTGTCCTCATTCCTCACAAATCCAGTGAGGATAAGTCATTTTCCTGCTAAAACTATTATTTCTTTGGGACTAATATTCCAAAGAATGTTCAATGAATTGGGCCTAAAATCATCAGAGGGAGCATTAAGAGGAAGACTAAGAGCTACCTATGGAACCAGAGGTAACTGGAGACTGACAATCACCACAATCTTGAGTTCCCACCAGAGATACCCCTCCCATGAGCAAAGGCAAGCGGTCAAAAAGGGCTTTGCATTTTCAGATGAAGTGATCTTATGTCAAGGATTTACTTTAAAATACTCCATAGCAGGCATCCTCAAACTACAGCCCGCGGGTCACATGTGGGTGTTTTTGCCCCTTTGTTTTTTTACTTCAAAATAAGATATGTGCAGTGTGCATAGGAATTTGTTCATAGTTTTTTTAAAACTAGAGTCTGGCCCTCCAATGGTCTGAGGGAAAATGAACTGGCCCCCTGTTTAAAATGTTTGAGGACCCCTGCTCCAGAGTGGGGTACAGGTGAAACGAGCCCCGCCGAATGTGACGAGTATATGGGATTCATTGTACTCTTCTGTGTTTGAAATTTTCACGATAAAAAGTTAGAAAAAAGGCTTCAAAGTTTCAATTTTTTCACTAATATAAACAATACAGCATGAATATGAGTCATTTAATAAATAATTGTTGAGGAACAACTATGCCGCTGATTTTTGAGTGACCTTCCCCCCAAGAAGATGGGACAGATTCCTTTAATTGGTTGAAAGGTCCAACCAAGGCCATTGGTTGAAATATCCTGTTCATAAAAAAATTCCAATTAACTTTCTAGTTTTTTAACTTATAAATATGTCTGGACATATCATGATCGGCCAGCATTCAAGTAAAACCTCCAACATGAAAATACAGATACCAAAGTTAACAAGCAAAAATAAGAAACTTGGAGAAAATAGAGGTGATATAGGAACAGAAAATAAAGTAAAACAGAAACAAAAGAAACACTTAATACTCTTGTAGAGTTAAGAGAAGTTATTACAGCCATGAAATAAGAAAAAGATACTACCAAAAGGGACAATACATGAGTTAAGAATGAGTTCTGGAAACAATCTAAAAGAATATGAGTGTTTTATGATAAATAATTCAGGTTATATATTTGTTCTATGCAATTTTCAATATGTATTTTATGTTTTATAACCTACAAAGTTTAAAAATAGAAAAACATGATTTATACTACTAAAAAAACAATAGAAACGTTAAAGTAAAGTTGAAGAAATTTCCCATGAAGTGAACAAAAAAATAAAGAGCTGGAAAATAGAAGGGAAGAAGTAAAAAAATCAGAAACTTAGTCTAAGAGGTTCAAAATAGAAATAAAAGGAGTTCTAGAATGAGAAAACAAAAAAAGAAAGTGTGTCCATCTTGTAGCTCTGACTTAGGTGGGGCAAAGGCAATATATGTAACCTAAACACTTGTACCCCTGTAATATTCTGAAAAAATATATATATTTTAAAAATGGAATTTAATATGCATAATTAAAATAAAACTCTAAAATAAAAAAAGAAAGTGTAGTGAATTAGATGATCAAATAAAAATACAAGAAAATGTTCAAGAACTATAGGATATGAGATTTCAGATTAGGAGGATCTATTGAGTGATACGCATCATGAAGGGGAAGAGAGATTCACGCTAAGGCACACCATGGTAATGTTTTCAAATGGAGGGGATAAAAGATTATAAAGGTGACCAGAAAGAACTGTAGATTTTAGGAGGAACTAATGATAGGCAAATAGTAAATAAAAGCTAGAGGCAATTATTATTTGTAGGAAAAACAAACAATTGAATAGGAAAGATGTAATCATAGTACAATAGTTAGTTAAGGAATTAACATTATTTACATTATTCTAATAATGTTAACACCAAATACTGGTTTAAACAAAAATTGAGATATTATGTGAAAGAATGGGGGAGGGGGAGCGGGGTAAAGACAGAGAGAGTTAGATTATGTGTCTGGGAGGGTCATGGCATAAAAGAATTAAATTATTTCCCTCAATAGTAGAAATATCATAGATAAGGCTTATAATTGATAACTCAGCAAATAGTAGTATTAGTATGCTACTTAAAATATGGAGATGAATACCAGAAAAGACAGCTTGAGGTATTGAACATGGTTGCCTGTGTGGAGCAAGACTGGGGGTGACGTAGCATGGGGAAGTACTGGCTTTTAGCTAATATTTATCTCCCAGTGTCAACTGGGAGATGGAAATTATGGAATTTATTAATCTTCTTATCAACTGGCTTGGTATGTTGCCACCTTGGCCATACCTGGGACCCTGCCATCATTGCGTGTCTTCCTTCTGTTATACTTCTTTTCCATTCTGTAAAGATACCTGCAATGTGAAAAGGAGGAATTGAAATTCCAGTCGTGTTTGTCTTCGGCTCGGTCTGATTTTCAGAAATTGCTGTAAATCAGTGGCACTGAAAATTGGCCTTTTTTTTTTTTTTTTCTGGGGGTGTTGGTTTGGCTTGATGAGAAAGCAAAAACAAATGGGGTTTATAAATGTAACTAATCAGGAAGTTAAAGAGAGGTTAAACCTAATGGATTAATCAAGTTCCTCTGGGAAGTGGGAAGAAAAGGTGGGAGGGAGGGAAGGAAAAAAATGATGGGGCAGGCTTTTGCCCAGGCTGATTCAATAAGCCCATCACCGGAGTCAGCTCTGAGTGTCTGGGGCTTTCCCCCTCCCACCACCCCATCTATTCTTTCTTGTGAGGGCAGGGAGAGCCCCCCAAAAGTAGCCTGCTGTACTGAGTAGAGAGAAGGTACCAGCTGCTAGAAGACCTTGGCTCTGATTTCTGATTCTGCCTCTTACTTGTTGTATGACCTTAGAGATGTTCCTTTACTCTTTGAGCTGATGTCATGCTCATCTGTAAAATTGGGGTGAGTATTCCAATTTTCTGACATTGCAAGGCTTGTAGAGGCCAACAGAGGTAATATTGCAGAATGCGGAACCGGAGGCAGAGATAGAGAGGGGAGGTTGGCCAGCACCCGCAAAGGCCTTGAGGTGAGAGGGCTGAGGGTGAGCACGATTTCAAATGAAGCCAGTGGTTAGAGGCCAGAATAAGAAAATCGGTGGAGTTCACATTGAGGATTTTCAACTTTGAGAGCTGTGAGCAGACTTTGAAATATTTTAAGGATGACAAGGAGGCTTGCAATCACCAAGTTTGTGTTTGGAGATCATTCTTGTGAAAGAAGATTTCCAGAGTTCCGCATGCCCTTTATTTCTTGGTGACACTCAAATCTTTAGCTCTGGGCTCAGTCTTTTTCCTAAGTTTCATACACACGTGTTCAAGTGTCTGTTGGACGACTCTCATGCTTGTTCCCCAAGCACTCAAAGCCAGTGTGTTCCTATCTGAACTGTTTATCTTCCTCCCCAAAGCTGATTCTCTTCCACTGTTCTATCCACCCCATGTTCTTTTGTAAATGGAAATTGAGACAGAAACTGAGAGTTGCCTCTTCTTTCTTCCTTGGTAACAGAATCTTGGACAATATGCCTAGCAAAAGACTATGTTACTACATTTTCAGAGTAACTGAGTTCTAGCTGATGCAATATAAGTAGAAGTTTCCTTCAAGAAAAGTTCTTTAAAGGGGCTCCATTTTGCACTTCTACTTGTTCTCCTTCTTATACCCCAAAACTCAGGTGCGATGCCTGGAACTCCTGTAGCCATTTTGGACTGTGAGGATAGAATTAATGTGGCAGGGTGGTGGAATAGATAGAAAGAATCAAATTCTTTAAGCCATTTTACTAAGTGAAGTACCACAAGAATGGAAAAACAAGCACCACATGTATGCACCATCAAATTGGTATTAGTTGATCAATACTTGTGTGCACATATGGTAGTAATATCCATCTGTGTCGGGCAGGTGGGAGCGGGGAGGAGGGGATGGATATATTCACACTTAATGGGTGTGGTGCACACCATCTGGGGGATGGACACACTTATACCTCTGACTCGGGTGGGGCAAAGGCAATATATGTAACCTAAACATTTGTAACCTTGTAATATGCTGAAATAAATATATATATGAAAAAAAGTTATTTAAATATTGAAGAACTGCCAAACATGCTTAGACTGTCTACCTCCAGATGTCTTTCACCTGATTAAAAATAAAAAGATTCTTATAGCTGTTTAAGTCACTGTAATTGGGTTTCCTGTTCCTTAGAGCTAAAATAAATTCTAAGTGATAGCCAGGATCCTGAGACTCCTTCCCTAAATCTAATCTTATACCAAGTTCCGCATTCTGGCTATCTATCCAACCCATCCCTATCTTATCCCTATCTGAGCTACATCAGCTTCCATCAGGATGACTGTAACAACCTTCTCACTGGCCCCCGCCCAACACTCATGCTCAAAGAATCTCTACCTTTGGCCGGGCGCTGTGGCTCACGCCTGTAATCCTAGCTCTTGGGAGGCCGAGGCGGGCGGATTGCTCAAGGTCAGGAGTTTGAAACCAGCCTGAGCAAGAGCGAGACCCCGTCTCTACTATAAATAGAAAGAAATTAATTGGCCAACTGATATATATATATATAAAAAAAAATTAGCCGGGCATGGTGGCGCATGCCTGTAGTCCCAGCTACTCGGGAGGCTGAGGCAGAAGGATCGCTCGAGCCCAGGAGTTTGAGGTTGCTGTGAGCTAGGCTGACGCCATGGCACTCACTCTAGCCTGGACAACAAAGCGAGACTCTGTCTCAAAAAAAAAAAAAAAAAAAAAAAAACTCTACCTTTTAGTTAAATAAACTTCCTAAAACTCAAATATGACTGGGTTACCAGAGAGTCATAGAATTATGGGCCCTAAAATTATAGAGCTTAAAGAGCCTTTAGAGGCCATTCCATTCTCAATGTCTTACCTGTTGGTTTGGCTTGATGAAAAGCAAACAGAGTCTTCCATGGGCCTCTTGCAATCACGTACAAGTGATCCCGTATGTAGAATTGTAGAAGTGCATTTCTCTAGAGAAGATCTAGAGCTTTCAGTGGATTCTAGCAGGCATTCACCAAAAGTTAAGAGTCTATCCGCCTCATTTTATAGATGGGGAAACTGAGGCCCACAGAGATTAAGTGACAATGTCCAAGGTCACACACAGAGGTTCAGTAGCAGAGCTGGAACACAGACCAGAGCTCTCTTCTCCAGACAAGCGCTGCCAACTGACAGTCAACACAGATGCTGACAGCCTCATCTTGCTCTCCTGAAGGACTGAAGGTCCCATTTCACTCAGACTGCTCCAGTTGGACTCACACTGATGAGGGCCGAAATGTAATTAGTACTAGTGAATAACAGGGTTATTAATTATAT